TCTATTCTCTTAGGGATTTCCATTATGTACACTGAGGTAAAAACTGAATTAATACCTCTTCAAAATTTCCTTCCATGGGCTTATAGGCCAGTAGAAGTACGGAGCGCATAAGATCTCCAACTAAAATGAAGTCACCCTTTGTTTTCACATAGAGTGCCATGATGTTGTTGTAATGGTTGCATTCTGTGCGAAGCTCCTTCTCTGCTGTCCATTCATACAGTCGCACCTGTTAGGAGAAAATTGATTTGTAAAGGTAAGGCTAAAACAGATCTGGAACAATACTGCAGAGTCCGAAACATTTCTCTTACACAGTTTGCTAAGCAAGCCCAGTTTTAGGAAATATTGATGTTGAGATCTTCAGAAGCCTTACCGTGCTGTTTATGCTGGCTAAGAGTTTTCCATTGAATTCCACCATGGAATAGACGGCCCCCTTTACTTCTTTCTCAGCCAGACTCTGCAATTTACCTAGGATACACATTAATACAACGATACTTGAAAAATACACTGGTTGTAGCTACAAATAGCAACAAAAAAATATTAACATCCTCAAAAACAGGTGATCTTAGGCCCTGAAATGTAGCTTCCTCCTTGGATTATATAAAGCCCTCCTTGCTTTCTGCAGCATAAAATTAATTATACTATAAAATGTAAGATATTACAAAATATATTAAAAATTCTATCATGAAACCTTCCAGAAGTTAATTTAGGCATTTTGCTCACTATGGATCCAGAGTAATGTAAATGCTAGCTGCAAGTGAACTCCAATTATCTTCTGAAATATTCCAATACCAAACCTTAAATGTGAGCAAGATACAGCAAGATTGGTGTACAAGATGTCAGGGAGGTCTTTAATTATCTTTTTTTAACAGTTACAATCTCTTTATGGTCGCCTCAGCCAGGAGTTCTTCATAAAGATGGTGCCTCACCTAGAGAGCTGTAAGCCTTCAGGAAATTTCAAATGTTGAAGTGGACAGAAAACCCCTTGGCCCTCTTTCTGATTATGTGTCATAAAGCTGGTATCAACTCTTAGCAGCCAGGTAGATACAATAATTCTAATTAATTAATTAATTAATTAATTAATTCTACCCCCTCAAAACCAAGGTAAACTACCAAAGTTTATTTGCAAATATGTGATGCTATGTGATAATCTTCTTCTGTGACAATAGCACAACATAAAGCCTAGCATGCACTTAAGTCTGTAATAACTACAATACATAGTTTTAACTTCTATCTATCTTTCTGAAAGCTCTTTCCTCATTCTACAATATTACTCAGTATCACCCCAAATACTTGTCAACTGTTAACTAAAAATTTTATTCATCATCTTCAACAGTCATAAAACTATCTGAATAATTCCACCTGAACTATCCATTTTCTTGGTGAGGTAAAATGAGGTGAAAATAAACACTTCTTCACTCAACTAGCATGCAACTAATCACTGTGAAAGAATCAATGGAAGTGCTCAAAAAGCTTAGGCTGCTCTTGAGACTAGGAATCAGAATGAATTTATATCTCATTTCACCATCTAACCATACTTTGAGATTATCATTTGAGATCTTTCTTCTTATGTTTCCTTTTAGCAGTAGCAACATAGGTAGCTACTATTAAAAAGTGCTATTTTGGTGACTATTCTGTAGTTTTCCCAGTTTCGCAGCCATTGCAATAATTTTCCCAATTGCTACTTATGGCTGCGAAACTTGGGACTCTGAAGAAGACAAATAGGACAAGGGTGGACACCTTTGAATTATGGTGCTGAAGACAACTATTACGCATCATATGGACTGCAAAAATCACAAAGTCTTAGACTGAATCTCATCAAAAATATCACTTGAAGCTAAGATTGCCAAGCAAAAGCTATCATACTTTGGTTATGTCATGCAAGCTGAAAAGTCAAACATGCTGGGAGTGATCAGTGGAAAAAGGAGAAGGGGCCGCCCTAATACTTATTGGCTGGACACTCTAAAGCAGACATGTCAAACACAAGACCCGGGGGCCGGATGCAGCCCGCAAAGTGGTTTCATGTAGCCCGCAAAGCCATCCTGGAAACAGCAAGGGACCGGACCCTGCTGCATTGGCCCCGACCCCTGGGCACGCGCTGGGGAGGTGTCACCCTTTGTGAGGAATCAAGAAATGTACCGTTGCAAAGTGGTCCTGGTCCCACCCCCTTCTGCCAGAGACCCTCAGATCTGTCCCATTCCTGCCCAGGCCCCCACAGACACCATTGACGCAAATGATGTAGAGCTGGCCACGCCCACCCAGTAGGCCATACCCACTCCATCCACGCCCACTCAGTAGGCCGCACCCACCCTGGCCACACCCACCCGGCCTTCCGAGGGCAACCGCAATGCTGATGTGGCCCTCAATGAAATTGAGTTTGATATCCCTGCTTTAAAGGATGACACCGGGATGATCATGGTGGATCTGAAGGAGGCGATGCCTGACAGAGGGGCATGGAACATGCCGATCCCTAGAGTAGCCGAGGGCTGGGCATGACTGAATGGTTGATGACAATGACTGTGGGTTTGTTAATGCCAAGTGAACACTTTCCCCCTATTTTCCAAGGCTTTAAAACTTTTATTTTAAAAATCCATTTATTTGTTTTGCAAACCTTGATATGTGGTGTTGTTACAGTGATTTAATTTGATCTCCTGCTAGATCTCTTTTATTACTATTATTACTGTAAGCCATCCAGGTAACTTCAGCATATTATAAATAATTTAAATACCCAAACTCTAAAAACCCAGATATTCAGGTTACTTTTTTCCATATGAAGCAGACAAGATGGCTCTTCAAGAGCTGAAAAGAATATTCTAGACTTTTAGAGCAGCGGTTCTCAACCTGTGGGTCGCGACCCCATTTGGGGTCGCACGACCATTTCACGGGGGTCGCCAAACCACTCCGTCCGCCATTTTTTTTTTGCCCTTTTCCTTAACTGTGCTACTCCCTGTGCTTGGCGGCAGCCTGAATGCACGAACTTTACCAAATGTGCCCTGCAGGAGGCGTGTGAAGAGCGCAGGCGCAGAGCAAGGCCCCATCCTCCCCAGGGATTCATTTCAGATTTAGGCGGCAAAAGTTTTTCTCGCGCAGAGGAGAGAGGAAAAACAATTGCGGAACACTCGGGAATCCCTTGCAAGGCACCAGGTACCTTGTGTTTATTTCCTAATGCC